CACACACACACACACACACACACACACACACACACACACACACACACACACACACACACACACACACACACACACACACACACACACACACACACACACCAATAGCTCACTCGTTTGCGACATTATCTGTAGTCGACTCTATGTCAACCAGATCACCAGCATTTCCCCAGGCGCATTCACCGACCTGGGCGCGTTGACGACACTGTAAGCAGGCAGTGTCATGCGAATCACGTACCAACAGCTCGCTCATTCGTGACACAATCTGTAGAATTCTTTCCACCAACAAGATCACCAGCATTTCTGAAAACGCATTTACAGGCCTGACCGCGCTGACTTTTCTGTACGCAAGCTAAGACATGCGAATCCCCCCCGCCCCACACACACACAGGCTCACTCGTTGGCGACACGATCTGTAGACAACTCGATGCCAACCAGATCACCAGCATTTCCGCAGGCGCATTCACCGACCTGGGCGCGTTGACGACACTGTAAGCAGGCAGTGTCATGCGAATCACGTACCAACAGCTCGCTCATTCGTGACACACTCTGTAGAATTCTTTCCATCAACACGATCACCAGCATTTCTGCAAACGCATTTACAGGCCTGACCGCGCTGACTGCCCTGTACGGAAGCTAAGACATGCGAGTCACACACACACACGCTCACTTTGTTGGTAACTCTATCTGTAGATATTTGCAACAAAACCAGCTCGACAGCATTTCTGCAATCGCATTTACTGGTCTGACTGCGCTGAGGGAATTGTAAGCAAGTAAAGCAAATGATGGATCACACACAAACGGCTCACTCGTTTGCGATTCTATCTGTAGATGGCTGCAAGTCAATCTGATCACCAGCATTTCTGCAAACGCATTCTCAGACCTTACCACGCTGGTTGGAATGTAAGCAAGGGCTCGTAGTGCAGGCGTCTGATTTGCTTCTTACTTACGGTACTTCCAGATATTTGAATCGGAATCCCTTCACCACCTTGCCGCCTGGTTTGTTTAAGGGCTTGAGAAATGTCAGTCACTTGTCCCGTGACCTGTCAACTGCTCAGGTTTCACAATCGGTGATTCCCAACAACTTTACCTTCGGTGGGAACACTGTCGCTCCGCCCAGCATGTACGGCACAGCATCCTCCCCATACAGTAAGTTCCGCGATGACTGCAATCCGTATGGATGACTCGACTGACATTTGTATTGCAGAGTGTGATGCAGCCTGCGCCACTTGCTACGCCGCTGGGTCCAGTGCGTGTTGCGGGACCAATTGTCTGACCTGCAATTCATCCGAGCCCTGCACTCAGTGCTATGAAGGTTATCTTATGATGGGCAGCTTCTGCCTCGCATCACCTGCAACCAACGCATCTGTCGCCTCGGTCGCTTCAGTCGAATCAATGCAATCCGCCGCAAGCGCGTCCATTGCGTCTGAGGTTTCCGCGACCTCGGCGCTCTCGGCATCGTTTGCTTCCATCTTTACTGCATCGTCAGCCTCGGTTGCATCTGCTGCGTCAGCTGCTACAGAAGCATCCGAAGCTTCCGCCGCTTCAGTTGCGTCTACTCAGTCTGCATCTTCAGCCTCGATTGCATCAGCTGCAAGCGCGTCATCCGCATCCATTGCATCTGATGTTTCCGCGACCTCGGCGCTCACTGCATCGTTTGCGTCCGTCGCTACTGCATCGTCTGCCTCGATTGCATCAGCTGCGTCAGCTGCAACAGAAGCGTCCAAAGCCTCCGCCGCCTCTGCTGCGTCGACGCAATCTGCCTCGGTTGCATCTGTTGCGTCAGCTGCGTCAGCTGCGACACAAGCATCCAAAGCCTCCGCCGCTTCAGTTGCGTCGGCAGCGACACAAGCATCCAAAGCCTCTGCCGCTTCAGTTGCGTCTACACAAGCTGCATCGTCAGCGTCAATTGCATCTGCTGCAAGCGCGTCGTCAGTATCCATCGCATCTGATGTTTCCGCGATCTCGGCGATCTCGGCATCGTTTGCGTCCGTCGCTACTGCATCGTCAGCCTCGATTGCATCAGCTGCGTCAGCTGCAACAGAAGCGTCCAAAGCCTCCGCCGCCTCTGCTGCGTCGACGCAATCTGCCTCGGTTGTATCTGTTGCGTCAGCTGCGTCAGCTGCGACACAAGCATCCAAAGCCTCCGCCGCTTCAGTTGCGTCGGCAGCGACACAAGCATCCGAAGCTTCCGCCGCTTCAGTTGCGTCTACTCAGTCTGCATCTTCAGCCTCGATTGCATCAGCTGCAAGCGCGTCATCCGCATCCATTGCATCTGATGTTTCCGCGACCTCGGCGCTCACTGCATCGTTTGCGTCCGTCGCTACTGCATCGTCTGCCTCGATTGCATCAGCTGCGTCAGCTGCAACAGAAGCGTCCAAAGCCTCCGC